AATCTTATAAGATTAATATGATCCTTCATTCAACTTCAAAAACTGAATGTCCTAAACATTCAACGAAATGGGTTGGTTCAAAACAGGACACATCATTTATTGGCCAAATAAAGGACGATTCCRTATTTTAAGGGACGGGTGGCAATAGGTGGAGCTGTGTCTGTGTGGGGAGGAGGGGTGCTCTGTGGGCCTGGAGCTCAGCTTTAGGGAGGAGCTTCGAGTAAATAGGCGGTGCTTTGTAGGCAGGCTTAGGCAGCTCCACAAGGCTACCACAGGAGATTCAAGGGTTTTCTCAAATATGCATGAACGAGTTAAAGTGAAAGCGACACTCTGGTTATGTTTTTGATGTGGGTGTAAGAAAATTTAGTGTTCGTTAACTGAAATCGTGACGAAACCACATAAACRTTGAATAGATTAAAATGCGAAGAGAATAGACCATAACACCAGTTAGTGGASTGAACGATGGTTTAATGCTGTCTGTTCAGGCATGAAACCAGCGCTGCTTGAAAACTGTAAGTCCCGGCTTATAAATACACGGGTCTTCAGTGCCTGGTACGCCCACTACAGGCCTACGGCTGAATCACAAGCACTCGTACCAAAAAACCATCTTTCCTTATGTGATCTTAATGGTTTTTCTATGTGTTGTCATAGTGTTTTTGTGCATTTAGCTAAAGCTATTTCAATCAAGGCATTACAATAGTTAAACAATAGATTATAAGAATCAATACTTAAAAAGGAAAACTATGGAAATGGTGTAGTGCTTTTAAAATCAGTACCTAACACGACTAATACAATTCTTCAACGGAATGACATTAAAATGCTCAAAGCTCAAAAGAATACAAGGCTAAGAGTTTTAAGATCAACGATGAATTGTTGCCATTTTTGTCAATCTTTGGAAAATATTATTGTCCAGTGGGTCCTGAGATATTTTGGTAACACAGAGACACACATTTCCTCCCTTAAACCTCTGAAATGTAGTACCCCCATTGTGTTTTGGCTAAAGATAATCTACTTGAGTGTGTGTGTGTGTGTGTGTGTGTGTGTGTGTGTG